TTTTTTTTCAATCCATTTGGTGAACATATAAATATTTTTGTTAGCTGTTGCATATTTAAGTTGTAATGTATCACCTGGGGCGTGTTTGGTAGAGATTAAAATCGAATTAAAATTGAAAAATTAACTGTTATTATTGACTTTTATTAGACGAGTGGGACCCAATAACGATCATATTTTCAATTTTAATTGAATTTTAATCGAAAATAAAGAGGCTCTATTTGTTTTTACTGTTATACATTGTAACAAAGAATCAACCACAACTGTTCAGAGACGCAGCCGCAATTGTTGAAAAAAAGCAGTGTTCATAACTTTTTATGGAATGAATTACCGAAAATGCCCCCATCAAAAAAATTGAAAAAGGAAAGCTACAGAGGGTATTTCCGTAATTCAAATATAAAAAATTATGACAGCTTCATTTTATTCAACAATTGAGGCTGCTTCCTTAATTTAACAATTGTGACAGCCTCCCTTTGACACTGTATAACAGTCAGAAAAATGCTAAAAAATTGCAAAGAAGCGCGATCAGGCAGGGGCTTAACAATATTTTAAAAACACTTCTTTTATATATATTTTATCCAAAATATGAGCATGTCCGATAGTGTTTTGTTAGTGATTACAAGTTGTGGATTGGATAGTAAATTGTGAATCCTTTGAAATTGAGAAAAAAAAATTAATAAAACAATCTTATATGCGCATGGTAAGACTGACAATTTAAATTTTGGCACCTCATACATTGTACAATTCAAATCACGACATTTCTGTATCCAAAGTAGTAAGAGAAAGAAATAAAGTAGATCTCACATGCTGACGCATCATGACTTAAATGGTTCAGGTATGGGATGTCATGATCAACTAGATCATTTTACCAATGTGCCTACCGAAACCTTCCTCTTCAATATGCATAAATAAAAAGTAAAATTAACTTGTTCAAATTATAATTTAAGCCTTGTCAAACATGCACTAATTTTATATTATTTATGTATTTTTCTTTTGCATGCGATTAGAGGAATCCAAAAATAGATGATGTCCTTGACTCACGAAGTTTGTGGGGCCAATTGATAAGTGCAGCTTCTACATTTATTTGATACTCTAAATGATGATAATTTATTATCTTTTGGATAACATTCTATCCAATTTATGTTAAATTGCATTTTTTAGGCAAAATTTTATGTTTGACGAAGAATTGGAAAAAAGAATGCAAAATAACGAAAAAAATGGCAAAATCCAAAGTATTGGGATTAAATTAACTATTGGATGCAAAGTTTGAATATATATATACTCTCCCTTTAGTCGTTTTTTTGACTTCTCCAAGCACTCTACATACACGCACCAAAAAGAGAGAAAAAAGTGAGGCAAAAAATGAATTGCAGTTTTTGTTTGAAGTCAACAACTACATCTGCAAAAAGGAATATATATATATATATATATACACACACACACACACAAACGCACGAAGTCGGATTTATTCAAATAATTCAGTGATGTATTCAAAGATAATTTTTTGTGTTTATTTTTACATTATGAGTAACTAATTTTCATATTATGGCAAACAATGAGTCGACTGGTGATCCTTTATTTTTCTATTCAAGATTTTTGTGATTTATTTTTATATGTGTTGGTTTTACTATGAGTTTAATAAATGGAATTAATTAATCACTAATTTGATGATTATGTGAGTTTCTTACGAATTGATAGGTGAGTTTGAGATTTAGACCATATAGTAAAATCTGGTAAATTAGTACAATGTGTAGANTGACCCTTTATTTTTTTATTCAAGATTTCTGTGATTTATTTATTTATGTGTTGATTTTATTATGAGTTTAATGCATTAAATTACCTGATCAATAATTTGATGATTATGTGAGTCTCTTACGAATCGAGAGGTGAGTTTGAAATTTAGACCATATAATAAAAATCGATAAATTGCAATAATGTGTAGTGATACTTATACTAATTATTGCGGTCATAATATGAATTTTAAAACTAGTGTTTCATTTAACTAAGGTTGATTCACATAGAGATATGGAATTGAATTAGTTAAATGGCTTAATGAGATCTCGAGATGGGTAAATTGAATAGAAGAATTCAATCGAACACTACATTAGGTTAGGAATCTTGAATTAAGAATTAATGTGATCAATAGATGAAATTGTTATGCCCTGATAATTATCCCATATTTGAATCTTCAATCAACCGTTTGCAAAATTTTGATATTTTCAAGTAGTTAAAAGTAGTTAGAAAATAATCACAACTATCATAATTCTTTACTTGCTTTCATCAAATAGGAATTAGAACAATTATATTAAGTCCTGAAGTATAGTCCTCGTGGGAATGATATCCGGACCCAAAGGTCCACTATACAGCTTGTTACGATATCGTACACTTGCGATATAAAAAACGCAACACCAATCAACTCGGGTTCAAGTTGTGAAAGAGTTAAGAGGCACAGAGAACTTCAAATGGAGTAGTTGAACTTGAATCAAATTTTATCATCACTCAAAACTGGAGCTTTGGTTCAACAAGTTTAGTGCTTGTTTGAATCAGATCTCTATGGTCTAGGGTTGGTTTCACAACATTTCTCAAAACTTGGTATCATTCCTAATTATATTGATGTACTAACTGACATTCAAGATGTCCAACAGAAGATGATGGAAGCACTTCCTAGTACCAACAATTCAGATTCAGACTGCCAAACTCCCAAGAAGAGGGGGAGAAATCCTAGTGTTGTCTGTCCTAACGTGCCATTCATAAAGAATGTGGACGTAGAGAGGCAAAGAAGAAAGACGCTGAAGAATTCGTTTTGTGAACTCCAGTCGGTAGTTCCATATGCGTCAAAGATGGACAGAGCATTTTTGCTATCAGCTGCTGTATTTTACATTAAAGAACTGAAAGAAAAAGTGGAAGAATCGGAGTATAAGAGAATGAAGATGGAACAACTAGAAATTGAAATGAAGATTGTTGGCAAAAATTTCTTGCAAATCAATATAGGAGAACTTAAAAGCAATGAATTTTCAATTTGTGGCTACAAATGGTATATGTTGATTCAGATGCAAAGCCCAAATTCTCCAAGTCATCTTTCTTTATGTCTTTGTGTGGCTGATCATGGAAAATTGCTTCAAGGATGGGATAATTAACAGTTCAATATTTCTGTGTTGAATCAAGATCCCAAGAAATAATCTAAGTATTCAGACAACATTCAAGGTTTTTGGAAAAAAGTACATGATTGGGGAAGGGAAAAATTCAATGAATTATCTTTGATTATCAGAAGGGTTTTAGGATAATGATACGTTTGTAATTGAAGCACAAATCCTGGTGATCAGGACAAGATCAGATCGTCCATTCCCCTGTCCTGATTGGGATTACAGGAGGTAATTTTGAGAGGTACTGTTTGAACTTTGAACTATATATTTATTTAGTGACATGTCCTTCGCGAGAAGCTCAAAATCTGAAGTTTTTGCATCAAAACCTGATGCTTGTGATATGTCCAGCTGCAATACCAGCCGCAATTATTGAAACTCTCGTACTTAATGAGGAAGGTTTCTCCATGGAAAAAGAAAACTTGAATTGAAACTCTCTTACTTAATGAGGAAGACTGATATTTTATTGTCTTTTGAATAAAATTCTACCTAATTTATGTTAAATTGTATTTTGTAGGTAAAACTTTATGTTTAATGAATAATTGAAGAAAAGAATACAAAATAGAGGCAAATGGAAAAATTCAAAGTACGAGGACTAAATTGGCATGGGTTGCACAAATAAATTGTTCTAAGGATCAACTTGCGTTACATAGAAGAATTGAGGACTTGGAAAGAAGAATTAATTTAATTTGGTATTGGAATTTACTGGGTTTCAACGTGGGCTTTTAAAATTGGACTAAACATTGGTTGCAATATATATGATACACACGGGTAGAAAGTGGAAAAAAANAATTTGGTATTGGAATTTACTGGGCATCGACTTGGATTTTTAAAATTAGACTAAACAGGGGCTGTAATATATAAAGAAGAGATACACATGCATAAGAGAGGGAGAGCAACCAATGTAGAAAAATAGAAGGAAGAGGAAGCTGACAGCGGCTGTTGACGAAAATAGAGAAAAGAAAATAAAGGAAAGAATAGAAAGAAAGGAAGGAAGGAAGAAAATAAGGAAAATAAAAAGGGGGAAAAGTCAACAGAAAGAAAAGACGTAGAGAAAGAAAAGAGAAGAAAGAGAAGGAAACAAAGAAAAAAAAGAAAAGGAAAACATCAAAAAATTTCACGTTTCGTCAATTTTTGGTGATATCTTTCCATTATTGCATGTTTAAATTCAATATTATGA